CACCTCTCCCCAAAATATATACATATGTGATGGAGAAGACTGGGAACCATTTATTAAGAGTCTACTACCTCCCTCACAGCCCACATGCGAATCTGTCTCCAATTCATTCAAAACAGTGAAATATGAATTATGCTGGAACATATGACGATGTACAAAAGGAGAGATGAGTAATATTGTTGAGTCTAAAGAAAAATCCATGATTTCCTTTAGATATAGACTCAAAATAAAGAAAGCCTACAAGAAATTTCTGATGAAAATTACACTATTGCAAAGTTAAATTTCAATGACCACAATTAAAAATGTTTGTCTTTATAACTTCAAATATTATAATTAAATCACTAAATAATCAATCTCACTATTTCTAGACTCACAATCAGATAATTTCATAGACATCAAAGACACATGGAACTGAATATGATAATTTAAATAGTAATTTATGGACCATCCATAATAAAAATGGAGGCAGCTTCCATAATAGGTTGAACTCAAACTGTAACATTTATCTAGAAATAAATGAGAGAGAGAGAGAGAGAGAGAGAGAGAGAGAGAGAGAGAGAGAGAGAAATTAGATGTTTAAAAGTCCACATTCAAAATCTTTTTTTTTTTTTATGGTATGACTTTTGGGCTAGTAGTTTGTCAACTCCCAATTCAACTTTTCCCTGTAAAGAAGCAGAACTTTCCTGGCACAGGTAGCCTCACCCTTAACTACTCAGTTAAAATTAATCATTCCAACCAGGACACTTTTCAGAGTAAAATGAATTAATAACTTAAACAGAATGATAAGGGTAAAACAGGGAAGTTCAGGTCAAACCACTTTATGTACTTTTTTTATTGGATCCTTGTGTGTGCCTCACAAGTCAGTACTTTGACATCCACCACGATAACAGTGTTGTGTGAGCATGTGGGATGTTCTTACAACCATACTTTGTACACAGTGGGCACTCATTAAATGTTCATTTTTCCAAAACTAATATAATATTTACCTCACCATAAAGATTGAATATCATCATGTTTTTAAAATATTTTGATAACATAACATATGACATAAAATGGTTGAAATCATTACATTTATTATGGAAGTCCCATATTGATGGATTTGGGAAGGTGCCTGAATTGAGAGGAGTGTTGATGTCTTAAAGCCCAGTGACATCACTAAAGGAGACAGGATAAGACCAGTGCAAACTATGACTGGAGGCCAAACCTTGGGAAACATTATATTTTAGGAAAAGGAGATGAAAAAGGAAGCATTTAATAAGAAATATGTTCATTCCTCAGAGAATTAAGAAGTGGATCAGGAGAATATTTTTTCGAATTCTTTCTCTCATGAATTTTTTATTTTCTCTATGCCAGAGAGCATATCCAAATAATTTTTAGTCCTCATAATTTTTGTGATACTTGAAACATGATAGATGTTGCATTAGTTAGTAAAAAACAAAAAAATACGTAAATAAAATAATGCATTTCTTCATGCTATGTGTGCAAAAGAAGGAATGGGAATGGACCTTGGCCATCACATCAGAGAAAAACTATGCCTGAAATGAGGAATTCTGCATCTCAAGTCTTTAGAATGAGGTTAAAAAGCCAAATTGAGAAAGATGGTGGGAACTTTTGAGTACTTACATTGTCAAGAATATCATGCTGTCTCAAGACAGAAGGAAAACAATTTTTCCTTCTTTTTAACTTCCTTTTCTTCTTCAGGGTTATGGATAGCTTCATCCCAAATGTCTCTCTTCCCTAGATGCCATGGAATTGACTTTCTTCTCTAGCTACAGATGATCTTCTTCAAATTATCTTCATCATTCAAAATCAACAAAGTGGATTCTCTACATGCTAGGTGACAGGGCAATTCCCTGCAAGCTACCAGAAGCAAAATTATCTCCTACATCTCTGGGATGTTAAATGACTTCCCCTCTGTGGCATGCCCCAAAACTGAGGAATAAGGAGCCCTGTGAGCATAGGAAGCAATTAAATGCTGAATGTTGAAATAGGTTTATAGTTACAAATTAGTACATGGTAATAAAGATAATCTTCAAGGAATTGGGAATTAAAAGAACTTGTAAATCCCACCTGACCACCCATTTCTCTGTTGTTGGCAGATATCTCATCAAATCTTTGTTCTCTATAGACCTTAGGAATCTGGCTGCCTATTCTATCATTTTTCTGATTTCTCCCTATTTTCTGTCTCTTGTGGTTTCTTGTGTTCCATGGGACCAAACTTAATTGCAAGGTGACACCAGTTTTAAGGGATTCTGGGAAATGAATTTGAATAGCCATGGACTTGGCTCCACTTGGCTTACTTACTAATATAAAAGAACATGATGACCAATATTGGGGTATACCCAAAGTACAAGCACAGACTTGTGAGGAGATACCTCAGTGAAGTAGCCTGTATTTGTTCTGTGTTGTACTACACTCATGTTATTGCATGATGATGTTTACCTCCAAAAGTGGCCAAACCACATCTACGATGTTGTCCATTAAAGCATCATAGAGCTAATAATATTCCCATTTCCTAATGAAATGAATGTCCCAACCATCATAACTTCATAGCACAGTAAATCATATTTCGGGGGTGATTCTGTTTGAAACAAGCCTACTGCACTGCCATCAATATACCTGTACAGCACATACAATTATGGATGCTATGCAGTACTTGAGAGTGATTATAGATGAATAAGTACTGGCTATGTATTTACTATACAATAAACCCCAGTAAATATGTGTTGACTTAAAAATGAATTATGCATTTCTCTTTCCAAAGGTTGATCACTGGACTCAATTTATTTGGGGCTGGGGATGTAGCTCAAGCGGTAGTGCACTCACCTGGCATGCGTGCGGCCCGGGTTCAATCCTCAGCACCACATACAAACAAAGATGTTGTGTCCGCCGAAAACTAAAAAAATAAATATTAAAATTCTCTCTCTCTCTCTCTCTCTCTTTTTAAAAAAAAACAATTTATGTGAAAAAAGTGGAATTATCCACTGTGTTTAGAAAAATATGATTAAACAAAAATATAAATAAACACAAAATATAACATACCCATACTTCAATAAATATAAAGGCTTGTTTACTTGTTTATTGTGCTAGGTTTAGGGGCTTTTCATATATTTATCTTTTTGATGACCATCAACATAATGTGTTTCTTGATTCAGTTCCAGCTTCTCTCTGTTGCTTTCCAGAATCTTCTGCCAATAGAGTGAAATTACAGCTGAGAGAAAAAAATCACACACACACACACACACACACACACACACACACACACATATATATATATATATATATATATATCTTTCCCAGGTAAATGGATCAAAATGGATCATCCTTTCTCACAGTTACCTTGGCATATGTAGTACTAATAAGAATTAGTACTAAAATTTAGTACTGATAAAATATAATTTGTTCTTATATAGTGCTTTTTACCTTTGTGCATGGACACGTATGTGTATTTACTTTCACATCCATTAAGATCCATTAGATCTAAAAACGACCCAGGGAGTTAGCTATGTCACTATCTTCATCGTACAGATGCAAGAATGAATACTTAGGCAGAAATAAAAATTCCACAACAAGTGCATCAGAGAGACCAAAATCAAAGCAAGCCATCCATACTCATGATATATAATAAACACAGATTCCTACATTGACATGACTTTCTTTATGTCCCAGATTAAGTAGGCATTTTTCAATACAGAGGATACAAGGAAATTTATCCCTTCTTGTGTACTTTAGCCAGGAAAATGAGTACAGATTCTCTCAGCTATTTGCATTGCTACACCATCCTGATGAAACACCCATGAGTCACCAGGCCCGGAAGAGGCAGTTCTTAGAAAATGGATGGCTCCCAAGAAAGAAAAAGTGTGTTTCTCCCCATTGCTCTGGGTAAAATGTAGAGACAGAGAATTCAAATTAGAGATGGGGAATAAATGACATATACCCACAATGTTCCTATTAGCAGGGTCAGAAGCAGGAAGCCCTTGGTAAGGTCTGTTAAAGAGATATTTACTGTAGTGGGCTGATCACTCAGAAAACACTCTCAGTCTGAATTTTGTCCAAATGAGAGTTTTTTATTCAGTCAGCTGGAGACTGGTCCCTGCAGGAACCAAATTGTCTCTGCCAGGAACAGTGTCAGGTTTGAGTTCTATGGGATTTATAAGATGAAAAACCACATACTCGAAAATGTAGGTACTGTCAAGCAAGCAGAATACAAGGGCTGAGAAAGCAGTTAGCAGAGCACAAACAAACAACTACATCCTGGGTTTGAGCAATTTGTCTGCATATGAAGTACAGAAAAATAATTTTTTAACATCTTAGAGACAGCTTTTATAACAGTTTCATATGGGAGTCATAAAAATGAAGTCATGATGGGTACTTATACTTACCTATTGCTATACATTGTACTTAACTATTGTTCCATTGACCTATACTTATCTGTAACTATGTTAACCTATGGGCTTATATTTATCAACTTACACTGTTCTATATCTTATTTCTAACAACTTAAATCTTATGTCTCACAGTTAGATGATTATGTTGTCCTACGATATTACTTATTCTAACTTATAACTACAGCAGCTTAACATTATCTATTCTATAACACTTATCACATAATCCTATTATCCTACTTATTAATATTTCATAACCTATAACCTACAATTTATAATTGATAATCTATATTGATTATGCTCAGATCATAAAATTTAGTGTATTTTATATCATTGCTAATGTTACTGTTGCAGCACTTTCACCTGAAAAACAAACCCCTTCCCTGTGTATCCCTCTAACAGTTCCTTTGTAGACACCAGGCAGATGAAAAAAGCAAATGTTCTCACGTTAGAGACTTTTACATGATCTCGAGAAAAGCAGAAGTGCAAATATTTGTTTAAGAATTATCAGTAGGTCCCTTAGTGATATAGTTGCTACTTTATAACTGGTCCCTAGAAGGGGGGCGGGACTTCTAGGGGAATTTAACTGCAGTTGCTTTCACTTTGCAGCAGCTCAGAGCTCTGGGGACTTCAGGAGGAGGTAGGCAACCCTGCTGCCTGCACTGGGACAGAATCCCACCCCTGCACCTGAAGCCTGAGAGCCTCCCATTCCGCCTCCCTTTCCCCTGTCTTTACATCTGTTGGTGCCTGTTCTAGCCACAAGCTCCCAGGGTGTGGAATTTAGTACCCATGTGTGCCCGGAAGGATTTATGCAAGTTTGGCTGTTTACAGGAATCTTGGGGAAAGGCCCTGGAGGGGGAATTTAGCCATTATCTGATAATCTCCACATTTCCCTTTCTACTATCATTTACTTTTCTCTCTCTCCATACCTCTACTTCTCCTTCCTCCTGTTTTTTTCTCTGGGAAAAAGGAGATGTTTTCTCAGTTTTGTGTAAGTTTGTGCTGTCAAAATGTGACTTTAAATTCTCCACCCAACTCAATCATTGCAGTTGCTAAGCCCATTTATGTCGAAACTGAGATTGCTGTTGTTCCTTTTTGTAAATACCTGGGCAATGAGAATCTAGGACTAAAAATTTAAAGATTGAACCACTCTCTGTTTCTGGGAAAGCCCCACTCTGCAGCCCAAATCAATTCCTGGCTGGCCCAGGGTTTCCACTTCTCATAACAGGCTGTTAGGGTGTGGTTCACTGGACTCTCCTGTTCCTCCCCTCCCTGCCTGCCTGTGACTGCTTCTGTCAGACTCTTGCATCTCTGATGTCCTCTCCAGACAGAGGTCCCAGGCTGAGAGAGAAGCTCCCTCTCCTGCCAGCTGCTTCAGATCCAAGACTTTGACCTTGGTCATTTGCTGTGATCAAATCTTTGCCCTAGGAATTGCTAGGCACTTCTCTGAAGTGCCATCCTGAGAGTTAGAACAAAATTCTGAACCAAACTAAATTTGATTGTATTGGGAAGGGTGGGGAGAGTATGAGCATAGCATCTTTGCCTCAGTGAAGGCTGTTTCTTTGTAGGGAACCCCAGTCCACCTAACTTCTCCCATTCACTGGGGTGAAAACTGGGCATCTGAGAGCTTGGGTTTTCTCACACAGTCTTTGAGCTTATTGCTCCTGTGTGAATCTACTGCCTTAAGCTTTCTGAAGGTGTTGTTAGATGTTCTTTCCTGTCCCAACCCAGCCTCTTCTGTGTGTCCCACTCTGGGGGTCATCCTAGAAGCCCTTTTCCTCAGTGTGTTCTCCTGTGTTCTCACCTAAACTGTCCTCTGTGTTGCTGTCAAAATGTGAGCTGTTTTGCAATGTATAGTTTTTATCCAATTGTGTAAAATAACAGATATGGAATGATGAGCCTGGCTTATTGCTATGCATTTGTATGTGGGGGTGTGGGAGGTAGGTGCATAGGAAACACAAGAGATATAACATGGATGATCAGCATGGTTATTGCATTGGTTTTGGAGATTCATATTCTCTCTCTCTCTCTCTCTCTCTCTCTCTCTCTCTCTCTGATTGATTTATTGTGCTTTGGATCTTACCCAGGGTCTTGCACAAGTTAGATAAGAGCTCTTCTGCTGAGAGATATCCTCAAGGTGTGTTTTAAATGGTGATTTGGATGGACATCATGGGCCTATAAATAGTATTTCCAAATGTTTCAGAATTATTAGTGTAGGATTGTTCCAGAAGGGAATCTGTCCTTCTCGAGAACATTTGTTTTCTGGATTTCAGGTCCCCCAGGGAAGGTTGGGGTTCTGTGCACTCATCTGCTTCTGAGGTTCTGGATGAACACTTGTGTATCTTTGTTTTTCAGCATGGTCTGTGCTCCAGGTAGTGCCATTTTAACTCCTTAAAGCCTATTTTTGGGGAAAACCCTTCCTGGTCTTAGAAATTTTAGCCCAGGGCACCCTGTTTCAGAACAGAGAAAGTTCATGATCCAATGCATAATGAACCAAGAGATTTCCAGTGGCCCAAGGGTCCAGAACTAGGATCAAACCCACCTCTGGATTCCCTGGATGAAAGAATCATCATGTTGGGCTGGGAATATGGCTCAGTGGTAGAGCAATTGTCTAGCACATATGGGGCACTGGGTTCAATCCTTAGGATCACATAATAAATAAAATTACTTTAAAAAATAAATCATAACCTGCATACATAAAATCTCTGTTTATTATAATATCACATTTAATATTTGATTATATATTATTAGTTTGAAAAATATGTATCAGACAGCCTAATTTAAAAAATAGAGAAAAATGTGTATATATGCATATATATGAAATTATTAATATATGTATGCATAATAATTTGAACATAGATAACAAACAGTAGTTTGGTTCAATTCTGAGCCTCATGAGGAAAATCAGAAGGCACATGGTATAAAAAGGTGCAGGACTCTGAATAGCATGATCCAAAGTGTATGAGTTTGCCAGGATGAACCCAACTACTATGTATAACAATAAAACTAAAATTTAAAATAGCAGAGACATTGAACAATAGAAATGATGACAACAAGAACAATGCTGGTATCTGTCTCCATTGCTTAAAAGTCATCTATGCCACCGACTTATTCTTGGTTTTATTTTTTGAGCTTTAGCAGTCTTAATAAAGGCATCAGAGCTTGCACCAATATATCAGAGTATAGACCCTATGGTCTCTTTTAGCAGTTGTAGTGTTTCTGTTTTCATTCCTGGGTCTTTGATCTACTTTGAATTGACTTTTATACAGGGTCAGAAATAGGTTCATAGTTTCATTCTTCTACATATAGATACGCCGTTTTCCCAGTACTTTTTACTTAAAAGTTTGTCTTTTCTTCATTGTGTGTTTTTGACAACTTTGTCAAGAATCAGATGACTGTATGATCTATGTGGATTTCTATTCTGTTGGCCTTCATGTCTGTTTTTTATGCCAATACTATGATGTTTTTTTGTTACTATATGTCTGTAGTATAATTTGAGATTGGATATTGTGATGCCTGCAGTCTTGCTCCTATGCATTGCTTTGGCTATTCTGTTTTTATACTTCCACATGATTTTTGGACTGTTTTTTTTTTCCCTAGGTTTGTGAAATTTTTATTTTGATGGGGATTTTAGTCCAACTGTAGGTCACTTTTGTTAATATGGCCATTTTAATAATATCAATTCTGTTTTTACAGGAATAAATTCCTTTCTTCACTATTCTATAATTTTAACTGTGGAGATATTTTTACCTATTTGATTAGATTTACCTAGTTTATTAAGTAGTTTATCTTTTTTTTGAGACTGTCATAAATGGAATTATTCCTGATTTCTTTCTCAGCATATTAATTACTAGATTATAGGAAAATTATTGGTTTTTGTATGTTACTCTCTGTCCTGCTACTTTGCTGAATTTATCAGCTAAAAGTTATCTGGTGGAATTCTGGAAGTCTTTCAAGTACAATATCATATAATAGTATGAAAGAGAGCCTTCAGAGCGGGACAAAATCTTTACCACATGCTCTTCTAACAGAGAACTAATGTCCAGAATATGTAAAGGATTCAAAAAAGCTTAACAACAAAACCAAACCAAATAGCCTAATCAATAAATGGAAAACAGATCTAAACAGATATTTCTCAAAAGAAGAAAAATACATTCTCAACAAATATATGAAAAAAAGTGTTCAACATCCTTAGCTGTCAAGGAATGCAAATTAAAACTACCCTGATATTTCATCTCACTATAATTAGAATACAAATAATAATCTTTACTGGTTAGATGTGGATAAAAAGGTATACATGTTCATTGGGACTGCAAATTGGTACATTCATTTTGGAAAGCAGTTTAGACATTCCTCAAAACACTTGGAATAGAACCACCATATGACCCTGCTATCTCGATCCTTGGTATTTAGCCAAAAAGACTAAAATCAGCTTTTTATAGTGATATACGAATACCAATATTTTAACAGTGCAACTCACAAAGCAAAATTATGGAAACTGCCATCAACAAATGAAAGTTAAAGAAGATGGGGTATACATACACAATGGAGTTTCATTCAGCTATAAAGGAGAAGAACAAAATTACATCATTATATCATTGCTGGTAAATTGATGGAATGGGAGAGCATCATGTTAAGTGAAATAAGCCTGACTCAGAAAGTCAAGAGTTGAATGTTCTCTTTCAATGTGGAAGCTACTCACCTTGCATAAAACTTAACTAAATGTGGATCAAATACCCAGTAATTAGACTAGAACCCCTGCCTATACTAGAATAAAATGTAGGGCCAACACTCCTTCATGTTGGCTTATGAACCAGCTTCCTCAATAAGACTCCTAAAGTGTAATAAATAAAATCAAGAATCAATAAATGGGTTGGTACCAAATTAATAGGCTTCTTCATAGTAAAGGAAATAATTAAGAGTATAAAGAGAGAGCCTACAGAATAAGAGAAAATCTTTGACACCTGTACCTCAGAGCATTAATCTCCAGTATATGTATGAACTTAAAATTAACACCCTTCAAAAAAACCACTCAAATAATCCAATTAATAAATTGGCAAAAGAACTAAAAAGAAGAAGAAATATAAATGGCCAACAAATATATGAAAAATGCCAGGTGCAATGGCACATGCCTATAATCCCAGCGGCTTGGGAAGCTGAGGCAGGAGAATCATGAGTTCAAAGCCAGCCTCAGCAAAAGCAAGGCAGTAAGTAACTCAGTGAGATCCTGTCTCTAAATAAAATACAAAATAGGGCTGGGGATGTGGCTCAGTGGTCGAGTGCCCCCTGAGTTTAATCCATGGTACCCACCCCACCTCCCGACCCCAGCAAATGTTCAACATCTCTAGCAATTAGAGGAATGCACATTAAAACTGCACTGATTTCATCTCATTCGAGTCAGAATGGCAACTATAAAGAATACAAGCAACAACAAATGTTGGTGAGGATGTGGGGAAAAATGGTATACTCATACATTGCTGGTGGGACTACAAATTGCAACCACTCTGGAAAGCAGTATGGAGATTCATCAAAAAACTAGGAAGGGAAACACTATTTGATCTGGTTACACCACTACTAGGTATACTTTTTCAAAGGACTTAAAATCAGCATGCTACAGTGACCCAGCCACATCAATGTTTATTGCAGCAAAATTCACAATAGCTAAGCTATGGAACCAACATAGGTGACCTTCAACAGATGAATAGATAAAGAAAATGTGGTATATATACACAATGGAGTATTCCTCAGCCATAAAAAAGAATGGCTTTATGACATTTTCTGGTAAATGGATGGATTAGGAAACTATTATGTTAAGTGAAATAAGCCAATCCCCAAATACTAAAGGTTGAATGTTCTCTCTGATATGTGCATGCTATCACACAACAAGGTGGAGGAGAGGGGTAGAAGAAAATTTCAGTACATTGGACAAAGGAGAATGAAGGGAAGGGAGAGGAAATAGGAATAGGAAAGACATAAGAATGAATCTAACATGACTTTCCTATGTACGTACATGAACATACTGCAGCAAATCTCCACACCGTGCACATATACAAGACTGGGAACCTAACTAGAATAAGATGTAATCCATGTTTGTATAAATACATCACAATAAACTCTGCTTCATGTATAACTCAAAGAACAAATAAAGTAAATTTAAAAATGTGGAAGCTAGAGAGAAGGAAAAATGAACTAAAAAAATAACAAGCCATACAACAATACTAGAAAGACTAATAAAGTTGAGGAAGGGGGTCAAGAGGGAGGGAGGAGGGGACGCATGGGGAAGTCCTGAGGTATGAAATCTATCAAATTATATTATGGCCACATATCAACATACTACCATGAATCAAATATATGTGTGCATATATATAATACACAAAATAATATTATTAAAACAAATTAGTAGAGAAAATGGATCAGGAGGAGGGAGGAGGGGAAAGAAGGAAAGGTAATAATAGGAAATGAGAGTTATCAAATTATATTTATATACAAATATACATAATGAATCCCACAATATGTATAATTATAAAGTACCAATGAAAATAGTATATGGCAATGTGAATAAAATAAAAAGCCATCTATGAGCCAATCCTAGTGTAGAAAATTCATATGTGATTTGAAGGTACAATTGTTCTCATTTTAGAAAGAGAATACCAAGGAGGATTAAGGTTACAACACCTATTCAGTATGTTTAAGAAAGGAGTATTAAACCCACTTTTGAATACTTAGTATTGGTATTTGAAGCACCCTCTAGCTTTTTTAGGAATTTCTTCTTAGATGGCACTTATTGCATCTTACAGTCTCCCCACCTGGGGATGGCATTTAAAAGGAGCCTAGCTATAGGATTTTTTGTCCCCTTATCTCCTCCATGTTTCTTCCTAGCACAAAATGTGACCTCCTGAATGTATTCTTATGCAAGAAGGAGGCTCATAATGTATTAATGTTTGGATGCATATCTCCCAACATGTCATTCTGCTCATGATGTATCTTTTCCTCAGGACACGGTGTCAGCATGGAGGGCTCCTGTGGCCTAATCACTCTCCAAAAGAAGCCAGGTAAGCCTGATTTCTAACTCTTGTGTACCAGTGTGTCTTTGATACCTAGCTCAATTCTTGGCTTGCAGGAGGCCTTTTATTGTAGTGTGTTGAACCCTTGAATCCTGATCTATCCCCAGTGGCACTGAAAAGCATCTCTGTGACCTTGTCCATCCATGAGTTTGTGGCTTGTGTGTCTGCAACCTTAAACTATGAAAATGAGGAGAAAGTCCCTTTGGAGGCCTCCTTTGTGTTCCCCATGGATGAAGACTCTGCTGTCTATAGCTTCGAGGCCTTGGTAGATGGGAAGAAAATTGTGGCAGAATTACAGGACAAGATGGAGGTACAAGAGATGAGTCCTTTGTCTTCTCCCTTCCTTTTACCTTAATGATTAATGTGCACTCTTTAAGATTTCATTCAAATGCACCTTCACAAAAAATGCTGGAGTTGGATGCTTTTCTATCTATGCACTTCTAAATTCTGATTTCCTGAGATCATTTAGGGATAAATCAATTAGAGGCATTCAATCTACAGCTATGAAATTGACAAGACCCATTAATTTCTCTAACAGTCTTCATTTTCTTCAGTCTTGTCTTTTCATTTGTTGTTACCTTTCTTTCCCATCCCTCCTATTTTCCTTAGGCCCAACACAAATATGAGGATGCCTTATCCCAGGGTCAGGAGGCCTACTTATTGGAGGAGGACTCAGACTCCAGAGATGTCTTCTGTTGCAATGTGGGGAATCTCCAGCCTGGGTCAAAGGTGGAGCTTACCCTGAGGTATGTGCAGGAGCTGCCCTTGGACGCTGATGGGGCCCTGCGCTATGTGCTCCCAGCCATCCTAAATCCTAGATACCATCTTTCAGGTAAGTACCTCTCCCCTTTGAGTAATAGTGGTGGCATAATAGGAGAATTCCCTTTATATTTATGGGGGTGCTAAAAATTAAGGGAAACAGAATGAAGTTCACTTTTTATAGGACGGCTTGAGGACAGTTGCCTTGATATAAAAGCTCCCCTAGTCCCCTTGGAGGAACTGCCATACACACTCAGCATGGTTGCCACCATCAGCTCCCAGCATGGCATCCAGAGAGTCCACTCCAACTGCCCCTTGAGTGCTGTTGAGTTCCTTGCAGATGATAAGACTTCTGCTCAGGTAATCAGTAAGAGAGGACTGTTGTTGCCAGGATGCTGTTCCTTGGGTCCTGACTTTGTCTAGCCCTTCCCAGGTGGTCCTTACTTTTCCCTATTAACCCAGAGGGGGATGCATTGTACTCCCTCCTCTCCCAGGTTTAATGTACTGAGTCTTCTCCTGATTCTCCCCTTTGCCCCTGCTCATGCTCACTGGTGGAGAAAGCCTGTGTGGTCCTCAACTCTGACCTCAGCTCCAGGCAGCAAAGAGTGATGTTCTAACCTGACTCCCTTGCTGGTCCCTAACTCAGGTTTCCTTGGCTGAAGGACACAAGTTTGACAGGGACGTGGAACTCCTGATTTACTACAGGGAGGTACACAGCCCCCGAGTATCTGTGGAGAGAGGGATGCTTGAGAAGAAGCCAGGTATATTCTTTCTTCATTTGTCCTCACCTCCTAGGAGGTGTTTGTCTATCTTGGAATCACTGTCAAATATTCTCACTTCCATTTCCTCTTCCCAGTAGCAGGTGAACACGTCAATTTGAAATACTGAAAGAGTCTACAGCATGCACAGTGGTCAGGTTTGGGAGTATCCTGTGGTATTGTCTTGTAGGCAAGTTTAAGTAGATTAGCAGAGAATTGGGGAAAGGGCATAAACAGATAAATTCACAACAGAAAACAGCCAGTTATATACCTGTAACAATCATCAATTTTAAGAGATGCAAATACAAATATGTGACATTTTCCCCATTCAAACCTAAAAGATTTCCAAATCCAGTCATGCCTATTTTTTCAAAAGGAGTGATATAGATTGTTGAAAAATAATTGGTTTTTAATCTCTTTGAGATAAATTTGGCATATAGGTTTAGTATAGTCAGCTTGTTTGCTGTTGTGATTAAAAGACCTGACAAGAACAATTTTAGAAAAGGAAAAGTTCATTTGGGGGCTGGTGGTTTCAGAGGTCTCAGTCCACAAACTTCTCTGGGTTCAAGGTAAGGCTGAACATCATGACAGAAGAGTGTGGCAGAGAAAAGCAGTTCACATGATGATCAGAAAGCAGAGAGTGACTCCACTTGACAAATATAAAATTTATACTCCAAAAGCACAACCCCCAATGCACACCCAATTCACTATTTGGGTTAAGGCTCCCATGACCTAGTCCTTTCTCCTTTAAACGTCCTTGCTTTGGGGGAACATATCACATCCAAACCACATCACAGGTGAAAATATATAATCTTTGTGGTAATTCCTGTTTGGGGAATATTACCTAAGGAAGCAAATATAAATATAAGTAAAAATATGCACTAGGTATGTGTTAATATTATTAATAATGTTAATAATATAAAATATCAGTAAAAAAATCACAATGACTCACTTGGACTAAATATACCAAACTTTCAACAACTTGATAAGTTATTATGCAGCTACTAAAATAATGTATGTTGACACATTGAAATAATTTTGAAAAAAAACTTCTAAGGAATTGGAAGTATAATGAAAGTAAGCCCTACCAACAGATTGCCAGTATATTATACCATACGTATTAGGAAAAAACATTTTAAAAATCAAGAAATATACAAGTGGTGTTTGTGATTAGATTAACACAAAATTGAATTTTTAAATTTCTTTTTAAATTAAACAAATACTTTATTGGTTAATTGATCACAGCTACATATAATATCACTGCAATTATTTATTTTTTAATTTTGATAAATATAAATAAAATTTTAACATTTTAGCCATTTTAAGTGGATAGATCTATGGCTTTAATTTATTTACCTTTTACAATAATCAACACTGTTCCTCTTCAAATTACTTTTAACATGCCTTGGTTTCTTAATTTTTAAGACTCAGGTTTGTAAATTAGTAAGCAGAGTTTCTTACTGAGGTTTTTTTTTTTTGCTCCTTTTTTTCTAAGTCTTCCTAAATATATATGTCCTTTTTTTTTTTCATAACTAAAAGTGAAATAACCTGAGTCAGTCTCTTTCTTTGGCCTTCTATGCTGCTTCCATTTTCATGACAGAAGAGATACTGCGACTCAGCAACCTTTTCCACATGGATGGAATGGAGGCATTCTTGGGGACAGTCACATTCACAATGACATGGTTGGGGCTAGGCCTTTGTCTCTGTAACTACAACTTCTATGAGGACTGTTCCCTGGAATTGCTTCCATAAGCTTTCCCAGGCTTTCAGTGCTGATGTGTGGCCATGGTTGCTTCATGTTTGAGCTTACAAATTGGCACTCTTGGTGGGACCTCACTTGTCCAACTTTTCTTCTAGCTTTTCATGCTGAAGTCACTCAGGGCCTCCTAACCTCAAAAATATTTGCTATAACTAGTTTCCCTCCCACGAAGCTGCACATTCTATCAGTTAGTTACCTGGTGTTTCTTTTCCTATTGGTGAGCTCCTTCTTGAAATATCCTAGCAGGAACCTGGCCTTTACTGAGTATTATTTAAACCTTATCTTAAAGATAAGGATTGAGATTTCTGTCTCTTTCCCCTCAAGGTTGTTGTTCCCATGCAGATTTTCTCAACTGCTCCTCATGACTAACTCTGCAGGTCATAGAATAATATGAGGGGCAGTTTTTATCAGTCTTATGAATTCCTTGCAGCAGGTGCTGCTTCTTGATCATATATTGGTTTAGTTGATTGGATGTTATATATACACAATGATGAAAAGGAAAACCTTGAATGGCAGCCTGGCTCAGTAAAAACTTTTAGAACTTATGCCACATGAAGCATATCAGTATGAGAGGAAAACACACTACATTATTGTTTGTTTGTTTTTTTTTTTTAATTTAGAATGGGTTTGTTAACTATATTAAGAATGCAATTTTAAAATTAAAATTTATATTTAACAAATGACTGTAATATTTAAAACTAATTTTATATAAATATTACTAAGAGGTTAATGTGGCCATCAAGAAAGTTCCTTAAAAGTATTGTATCACTTAACCAATAAAACAATCATAAAATAGGTCTTATTACCATGATTTTCAGATGAGGAAATTGGAGATAACAAGTGGTAGAACTAAGGTTTGAAATACCTTGTTTGAAATCAAGTAAGCAGCACTGGTGAAGCTAAAGATAATTTGTAGGAGGCTGAAAGAATTATAGTAGACAATATACACACGCAGTGCTCACCATGTATCTGGTGGTGTTCTGAACAGTTCATATGTACTAACTCCCAACATTCTCATTCAACCTTTCTGACTTCTCAGGGCAGTGCCAACCCCATAAGACCCAGGTGTCTCTCATTTCAGAAAGGAATCTACCTTCACCTATCAAAACAGTGCTGCATTATATATCCAGATGTCCAGGTTATGTAAACATCATTTTTTCAACTCCTCTTCTATCAAAAGTTTTTTGGGTGACATCTACTATATTAAGTAGCCTGTTTGATTAGTAGACTATCCCATGGATAAAAGATTAAACTGAAATAGGTCTCATGGTCATACTGAATCTCAGGGCTACTAAGATTTTAATTCTACCATTCTGGAATCAGTTTACAAAAATAGGATAATGGTATATAATTCCATAGCCTCTTATACTCTCTGAACTTTAAAAATGGAGTCAATATAACCCAGCCATTCTCATTTCATTTCCATCTCGGTAACTGATGTTTCAACTCCAGTATCAATTTTCATTCACATCTCAAAATGAAATCTCAGCAATGGCTTTGACATTTTATCCATAAAGGGTGGTCTCCCCTTGTCTCCTCACACCATTATTTGTATGAAGCTATTTTAGTTTACCAAAGATTTTTCTAATCCCACAGCTTCCTTTTCTTGTGGGGAGCATGAATGAGTACTTCACACTAATACACTATTATAATTATTGTTTGTGCCTACTAACCTCTACCCTCTCTCTTCTCTTTGATATGTGATCTATTTCTATATGTTTTATATGTTTATAACTCACCTCAAGCCCTTTGTAAGAAGATTGTGAATAAGGATCAACCACAGTGTTGTTTATATTTCAGTTTTTCCTGTCCCCTATTGTGTACACTACAATTACTTCCTGGGAATTTTAAGATTCTTGGGCTCTTGTTTCCCCTAGCCCCCAGGATCTTTATCTTATTTTTTTATAGATAGTTTAATGGGAGATCCTTCTGTCATGGTGAGTTTCTATCCAGACATTCCTGAAGATGAGGCATCTGTGACCTGTGGAGAATTTGTCTTCCTTATGGACTGCTCAGGAAGTATGCAGTGTCCCATGAATAACCAGAACCAGTCTCAGTCACGCATAGAGGCAGCCCAGGTAAATCCAGTTTCTTCTTCTGAGTCAGGTAGACAAGTGAGGGTGAATCTGAGGCATTAAAGTGGGGTGCATTTGGAGGTGTAGGTCTGTTCTCCACCTGAGCAGCAGCTGGTATGACCACTCGGAGGCCTTGGAAGGTAAAGTGGCATGGAACCAAGGTGACAGGCTACAGCCCCAAGAGTGGGCTCCACAAGGTCTAGAGAAGATCCTCTCACTCTCTCCTCATCCTCTCTCCCCTTCAGGAAACACTGATTCTGCTGCTGAAGAGTTTGCCTATAGGCTGTTATTTCAACATCTATCAATTTGGATCTTCCTATAAGGAATTTTTTCCGTAAGTCCCTGAAAAGGCCAGAAAATAAATACTTTAAAGGGAGGAACTCTATTGTAAAGGGATTACTGTTACCAAAAGCTCATTTCTTGTGTCTGATGCCAATTTGATAATGAGGACATTGTTTTGAGAAAAGGAAAAAGCTTATTCCTTTTCTGGCAAAGGGGAAGCTAAGGGACTCCTGTTCCACAAGGTGTGATTCTGCCCATCAGGGAGAACTGAAGGTTTTGTAAGAACAGTTCTAGGTGTTTTGTAAGAACAGTTTTGGTGTTGCCTGTGGGAGGTTGTGATTCACTTGTTAATTTGGGAGATAGCCATTTCTTAGATCTCTGGAGCCCCTCCTGAAGTCTGAGTTACTTGGTTCCTAAAGCAGGTGTGATAACTATCAGCCTAAGACTGGAAAAAGATAGCCCATCCCCCACCCCTAGGTTAGGGAATGGGAGAGGGAGGAGAGGAAAAGAAAACATGTCCATTTTAAAATAAGCTTCAGTGGCAGAGCAGCAAAGTCTATATTCAAAGCATGAGGTGTACCACTGTAGGATTACTGAAGGGTCGACCTGAGTTTGGGGGATTTGGGGTGGGATTGCTCTTTTTTTTTAGGTAGGGGGGTTACCAGGGATTGAACTCAGCAGGGGCACTAGACCACGGAGTCACATCCCCAGCCCTATTTTTTGTATTTTATTTAGAGACGGGGTCTCACTGAGTTGTTCAGTGCCTCACTTTTTGCTGAGGCTGGCTTTGAACTCACAATCCTGTCTCAGCCTCCTGAGAGGCTGGGAAGGATTGCTGTTTGATGGGGTTTCTCAGCAGCAGGCAATATGAAGCTGCCACCATGCAACTGGATGCTTTTGTTTCTCTCAGGGAGAGTGTGAAGTACACTCAGCAAACAATGGAAGAGGCAGTGAACAGAGTTAAGCTCATGAGAGCAGATCTAGGGGGCACTGAAATCTTGGCACCACTTCAGAACATTTACAGGAAGCCCTCCATCCCTGGTCACCCCCTACAGGTAGGAAATGGAACAGACTTAACAGAAGGACACAGAGAAAATGAAAGAATTAATGTCCTTGAGCTTTACTGCAGGAATTTTAAAATATGGTGTGTATTTTGAAGACTCTATTTTATAATAAAGAGAAGTGGTATTTTTCTTATCCCTTCACTCAATTGGATGGACAGTGGAACTACCTCTGTGGAATGCCCCAAAGCCTCTGGCAAAGTCAGTGTGTGGAGGAGCCCCAAATCCCCAGTGTTTCCAGCAATCCTGCGAGGACAGGATCCCAGTGACAGTGGAACATGGAAGAGTGCACGCCTGTTTGAAGAGCCCTTGGAGTCTCTGGAATGAAACAATTGGGGTTTTCAAGGGCAAATCCTGATACCTTGCAATGAGATTGAGGATTGATGTGTATTTTCTTTCTTTGTACAGCTTTTTGTCTTCACAGATGGAGAAGTTACTGACACATTTAGTGTAATTAAAGAAGTTCAGTCTAACAGCAATAAACACAGGTACGAACTGAAAGTGATTTCTGCTGGGGTGACCATACTGCAGTAGGGCCACATAAAACCTACAGCCTCATGATACCACTGTTGACAATGCTTGCAGAAGAATGACCCATTCTAAAATTTTATTCTTACCAGTTGAAAATGTATTTTTCTTTACAGAAACAAATGGTAGTTTTCCAAATAACACCAACAACACAGAAAACTCTTTGTCCTTTATTTTTCTAAGCCACAATAGAAGAGAGGTTTGATTAGTGTGTTTTTCTTTATTACAAACGTCTTTGACAAAGTTAAACAGGAAACTACATGAATTACTGTGATTTAGCTTGATGAACTATCACAATGAGCACAGAGTGACCCCACACAGGTCTAGAGCTAGAATGTTATCAAACTTCTTCCTCTTTACCCTTCACTCATATCCTGTTCTCACTCCCAATCCACTTGTTCTCCTGACTTATAACTCAATGGGTTGTCTGTCCTTGTTTTCAGTTTAAAATAAGTGAGCTATATAGTAGGTTATTCTGT